CTCTTCTGTTTATAATTTCCTCCCTCATATAAGCTGGGTTTGATTTATTCTTCTTTTTCTAGGAGTCTGAGGTTCAACATTAAGTTATTTATTTGAGCTTGTTCTGTTTTCCTGATGTTAGAATTCATTGCTATAAATTTTCTTCTCAGTACTGCTTTCATTACATGCAATGTTTCAGTATGTTGTATCGGCATTAACATTTATTTGTAGGTACTGTTTAATTTCTTCTTTAATTTCCTCTGTGACCCCTTGGTTGCTCATGAGGGTGTCCATGTGTTTATGTAGTTTTTGTGGTTTCTTTTGCTGTTGATTTCCATTTTCACTGCATGATGGTCAGAAAATATACATGTTATAATTTCAGTTCCTCTACATTTACTTAAGCATGTTCTATGGACTAGTACATGGTCTGTTTTGAAGAACGTCCTGTGTGCAATTTTTTATATCTGGTATTTCTGTCTGATGCCTTTTTGTGGATTCTTATCTTTGGTAAATTTGTCCTTCATGTTTTAAACAGTTTTGGTCAGCTCTTCTAATTTTTAAATTTGTTTCCCCCAAGTCCACAGTGGTCATTTTGTACAATAGAGTAGTACCTTGGTTCACAAACTTTATGGATTGTATTTATTTGGAAAAGATGCCCACTTTTGTGTTTGTGTAGAAAAGATGACCACAGCCGTGTTTGTTACTCAGTGAAGAGTTTTCAAGCAAAAATAAAATTATGCCAAATGTTTCTGTTTGCGAACTAAATTATTTGCAAGCAAAAGCGTTCATGAACCGAGGTACTACTGCAATTTCATATACTTTTGGGTCATGTGCTCGTTGAATGTGCCAAGATTCTTTACTCTTCTTTAATCAGGCAGCCACACCTGATTTACCTCTTTTCCTTTGCACTCAAAACCCAAATAAACCCAGCCTGGGGAGTTGTCCCTCCCAGCTCGCAGGTACAATCTGACGCTATGGACGTGGCTCAGGAGACGTCCAGGTGTGTTGGAGGAGGAAGCCAGGTTCCTTCGCAGGCCGGAGTCTACGGAGTCAGGACCTGCTCGAGCTCCTGCGGGGCCGGAGGACTCTGAAGGCACCTTTGCACCCCGGCTGCAGAAATCTGCCACATGTTCACTCGAGGCTTGGAACTGCAGAAGTGAGCATGCATTTCACTCTCAGGCAGGGAGGATGCAGAGTGCGCAGGCAGGAGCGTGGGGACCGTTCATCCGCTCTCTGCCCAGGGGCGTGTGTAGGGGTTTCCCCTCGCCCTCGATGCAGGCTGGCGAGGATGCCCCTGGGCTGCGGCGTCCCCGGTGGTTGGAGGAGAGGTATTGGGGAGAAGGGGCTGGGATGTGCAGAGTCTGATCCTGGAATTCACGCTCCCCAGCGCCCCCGCGTCCCTCCATTCCCTTGGGCTATTTGGAATGCTCTCTCTCTCTCTCTCTCTCTCTCTCTCTCTCTCTCTCTCTCTCTCTCTCTGGCTGCTCCTGGAGGGCCGGGGCTGAGCCGTGTGGACCAGCTGCTGCGGCTTCACTTCTCTCTTCAAAGATCCAGATACTGAGTTTGATCTACGTGGATAATTTTTTTGGATTAATTTTCTAATTTGGGGTTTAAGACCCTCCCTTCAAAGTAACCCTGGCTTCTGTGAATCTTCTCAGAGCTCCCATGTTGGATTCCTTTCTTACTCATTTTTAAATTTTGAAACAGGGACTCAGTCACTAAATTGACCAGGCTGGGCTTGAACTTGCAAGCCTCCTGCCTCAGCCTCCCAGAATGCTGGGTTTATCACCACACCTGGCTTAAGTTGGGGCTTCTTCAGGTCAGAGGTCTGTAGAATTGGTAATTAGGTTCCATCGACTATCAGAGAAAACACTCGCACTTTGATAGGTAACAAAGCATCTTGTCTCTGCTTTCTCAGGCCAACAGATTATTAAACTGTCACAGAATTTAACTGCAAAATCTCACCCCAAACGAGAACACTGCTGACTTGTTATGATCCTCAGACTCTGAGAAAAGACTGCTTAGTTTACAGCTTTCTGTTTTGAGGCTTGAATTCCCAAGAGATGGAAAGAGAGGCAGTAAAGAGGCTGGAGCTAGGACTCACCCTCCTGGACTTGGCTGAAGTTTTTTCTCAGGACAGAGTCAAAGACAGAACGTGAGCTTTGCTGCCTGCACTTTAGCACCTACTTGCTATATGATCACGTGGTTTTTTCATTTGTGAAGTGGACAAACAACAAAACAGTGCCAGAAAGTGACTGTTACGAGGGCAAAATAAGATGCTAAGCTCCCATTGTTGTGTGTCTAGCAAACGCCTTCCTTGTGAGAGCATCAAGGTTGTTTTTCCTATTCTTTGCCTTACCTTTGATGAGTTCTACCTCATTTGGAGGATGTAACCCTGTGGCTCTGGTAGGATGTACTGTCTTCCTGGGGATTTCAAAAACATTGGATACCAGGTACTGCTGCGCAAATCGGGAGCCTCATCAGCAATGGATCTAGTTGACCTGGAGGAAGAATAAGGGCTGTAACAACGATCTGTAATGTATAAAATAATAGTTTTCAATTGATCCATAAAACTTAAAATAATCTGTGTTAGTGATTTTTCATGGTCCGTACCTTGGCATTCCTCCAGAGGATTAAGACAAATCAGCTTTGATGATAAACATACCTTTGCCAAGGGGTAACCTTGGCAACAAAAAAGCTAATTGCTCAGAAACAGCTGCCTTCTGGTAAGAACGGAAGATTAAAATATGAGTGAGGGAGTCTCCCAAGTAGTTCTGAGAAAGGTTGCAGACCAAACACTTTCGGGCTGGTGGTGAGGAGGGATATTCCAGAGCATTGTTTTGTTTGGATGAAGCCAAACTGAAATATATGTAAGATGAATTTCCCCCAGAATCAGTCTCTTCTTTAAGTTTTGTCAGCAACATTTTGACAGCATGAGGTGAAAACCTGTGGACCTTCTACACTCTAGGAATTGAGAACCAGTGGGACATTTGACCACTGAGATGTCATTTGTTCAGAGCCAGGAACTGTGTGATCTGTAAGCTGACATGAGCAGCAGAGCAGGCTATGGAAAGACAGGGTGTCAGACCACCATTTTACCAGTGACCTAGGAACCGGAGAATGTCTGTTGAGATCCCCCGGGTTAGATGGAGATTATACCCAATCAATGCATTGGAAACCCTTCAGTGGGAAGCAGGCAAAGGAAATAACCCTCGCGTGGATTGGAAGGTGCAGTGCAGGTGATTGGTAATGCTGATTGTATCAAGGTGGTGTGTGCGTGGGTGCGTGTGCGTGTGCGTGCGTGCGCGTGCGTGTGTGTGTGTGTGTGTGTGTGTATAGTGTGTGTGTGCAGTTGAATAAATGTGTGGAGGAACTATGAGAGAAAAATGGGAATAATTTCTTTTAGTAGTAGTTTTTATTAAAAGAAAAGTAAGGAATTGTGTGCAAACATAGGAAAGTATAAAGAAGAAAATTGAAATCACACAAAATCTAACACCACAATGTATTGCATGAGTGCTGACTGTAAGGGGAAATGAACAGGGAAGCGTGAGGATGACTGGTTTGTGAATGCAGTGGGAGAGCAGGTTTCCTCCCTTTGTTTTGAGGTCTGGCTTATAGTGGCTTCTACAGAAATAGGTGAAGAGACGAAATATCAGTAAATTTTAGAAATTTAGACCAAAGTTTTCTACGTTGCTTTTTTTTTTTTTTTTCCCCTCCGGTACCGGGAACCGAACTCACGACCTTCCGCTTTCCAGGCAGGTGTTTTTGCCGCTGAGCTAAATCCCCAGCCCCTCTATGTTGCTTTTTTATTTGTTATCTTCACTTTAAGCATATTGTAAGCTTTTCCCTTGTGAATAAATGCTTTTTTACACTGTGATTTAAATGGCTGCTTTGTATTTCACCATGTGAACAGATCATAATTGAGTAAAAATTTCCTATTGTATACTTTTGGTTTATTCTTTTTTTTTTTACTGTTATAAATAAATCTGAACTCAACGTCCTTATACATCAAGTTTGTGTAGATCTCTTTTGTTTCCTTGAGATAAATACTTTGGAGGAAAATTATATAATCAAAGGGTCTTTCTCGGTCCTGGTTCTTTGGTTGGGTAGCATTCTGGACATGCTTTATGGTTTATACTCCAAGGGGAAGTGCTTGAGAAGGGGCAGAAAAGGAGAGTAAGGGTCAGGATAAATTGACCTGTAGAAGGAGACTGGGGGTGTCTCTGAAAAAGGCCCAGAAAGGAAAGGAGGAGCGAGGATTCTCAGGAAAGACCCCAGGGAGAGGTGCCTGGACCAGCAATGTGAGCAGAGGGCAACACTTCATTTAAAAGGGAGGTTGAAGAAAATAATGCATGTGAAGAATATTCATTGAATTATGGGCTTTACAAAATTTTCCCAAGATAGTTTATTATCATCTTAGTCAATGATGAGCAAAATGAGGCACAGAAATTAAGTGACTTTGTAAGGATCACACTAAGAAAAAAGGCAGAACAGAGTCAAAGTGATGTCTTCTAGTCCAAATCCCTTGTTCTTCCATTCAGCTTTTTGTATACCCGTAAGCAAGGAAAGAGCCTGGGCCACTGTTACTTCTCTTGGTACTTCGTGGTGAAACAGGGCGCCCTTCTTCATCTTTAGGACATGAGAAGGTCTCACAAAGGTGGCTGAAGTGAGAATGAATGAAGTTGATTATGATGAACAAAAGAGGGAATTTCCCACAAAATAAAATGGTTCTTTTAATCTCAAAGCCCATTACTGTATCAGTATATATTATTGATAAGCATAAAAGGGATTTTTTAGGAGGCGCTTCTCAAAAGGATTACTCAGCTCCTAATCCAGATCCATAAATTGCAAGTGATTGTGAGGTGCTGTGACTGAGACCTGACAATTATGTAGCAAGTAGCAACAAGCCGAGTCCACGGGGACGAGCCACACACACATATACAGTGCCATGTGCCATCGAGGTGCTTAATTAAAACTTGCAATATTTCAACACCATTTTTTCCAAAGCTCAGCTTGTGAAAATGGCCAACAGAAAGAAATTTTTGGCTCTAGGAATTCTTGCATTTTTATGTGCTGACCTAGGCGTTCAAGGTGAAGAAAAAGAAGAAGAACAGACCTGCAGGTTGCTGGGCAAGTTTGATTTGAACGGCTATGTAGATGCCAAAAACCACACACTTGTTATTGGTGGGCTGTTTCCCATACACTCCAGGACTATCCCAGCAAATGAGTCTATTTTGGAGCCAGTATCAGCAAAATGTGAAGGGTAAGCCATTCTTTTAACATCAATAGTAGGTGGTGAGGGGGAGTGGGATGGTAAACATGGGGGCCAGCACCCTGAACTGGGGTGGGGGTGCCTACTCTGACTCTGACATGCTCCGTTTGACTCAAAACACGTTTCTAGGCCTCGGTTTCTCCAAGGCAGAAATTCTAGAAGTGATTGGAAACTGGGAAAGTTTGGTGTCAAGTGCATCTGTCTATAGCTCAGACAGAAAGAAGAGGGGCTTTGCATGGTGTAGGATGCGGCCCCTCGGAGGGTGGTCTGTGGGCCAGCAGGATCAGCATCCCAGGAGAACCAGTCAGAAACAGAACCAGGGACTCCATCCTTCCAGATCTACATTTTGATAAGACCTCCTATTGACTGATATGCACATTAGGGTTTGAGAACAGGGCTGCAGAATTGTGCAGCGTTGTAGCATTATTATTAACTGTTACGGACTAAAACTTTCTTCATTTGGAACACCTCCTGTGGGACACTGATTTATTTCTAAGCTAATGTTCATGGCAAGATCCCTTCAGCTACTAAAAGACTTCTGGTGCTCCTTCTCTTGCCTCCAAGTTGTCACATCAGATTACCAGGATCCATCCCTGAAAATCTGAATTTGCTAGTAATCTACTGTAAGAAAATCAAAGATGGGATAGGTGTCTGAGCAATACACACACACACACACACACACACACACACACTCCATACAAAAGCATGCTCAAAATTAAAAGAAACAAAGACAATTATCACTATTTTACTGCCAGAACACAGCGCATCTTTACTTGACCCTTTTTCAAGTGCATCTTTTTTTTCAAGTGCATCTTTATTTTTAAAATAATTGTGACCATAGCACAGACACAATTTTATATTGAGTATTTTACATTATATCATAAGCTACCCATGATGCCACATGTAATCATAGCTGTCAGAGTGGCTTGTGAAAATTTTAACAGCTTCTTACGTCATTACATCTTTACCGATCATGATTTCTTTGCTTTCATCATATTTCATGCTCATAGCTGAGATGTCACTAGAGACAGAAATCAATTGCAGTGTTTTTGGCAAAAGGAAAAATGGCCATCAGTCCCTGTTTATTTTTTTCATGGACCTTTAATTGCTTGCCATTTGCAGTTAAGTTCAGGGAAGGAGGAGAAGGGGTTTTGCTTATAGCTACATGGTAGCATCAGTTCATTATCATAGAGTTTTTCAGTTTTTTAATTCTTATATGAAAATGAAAATAGTTCTTATGATGCAATGCACTGTAATATTTCATAAATGAAATCATTTAATTTGTTCTTTACTCGTTGTTGGAACTTCTGAAGGTTATTTTCTAGAACAGTTAGATGGGAAAGCCAACATATATATTTTAATGTAAATTATCTTTCCCTTAAAAATGATTTGGCATAGCCACTGTGGTTGAAACTGGTGAGAATTAAGTACATCACATTTAAAAAATAATTCCCTTCTCAGGTAATTTGGAGATTTGCCTAATCATTGCAATCAAAATCTGAATGACTACTATTTAGCTTTATAAATTTTTAAAAATGTACTTTTTTTCAAAAATGAGAATTGTATATTTTACTTCACCAATAATAGTCAACAATTCCTCCAATATTCTCCAGTCCTCCATGTAATCTAGTGTCTTTCTCATCCTCATAGGAGGCCTGGTCTATGGGGTATTCAGAAGCTGGGCCAAGCTTAATCTGATAGTAGTTTAATTTTGGCATCATTACCCATAGCTTACTCAGAAATTCAATCTGCAGTAGAAGGAATCTCATTCTAAAATCTATAATTTTAACAAGATAATAGTTATTTTTAGCCATGAGCTAAAATGTGCAGAAGAGAAAGTCTTTCTGCTATTTTGTAAATGTTGCATAAGCCAGAGAAATACAATGAAATGGGATAGGAAGGTGGTATTTTAGATTTTATTTGGGTTGTTTTACACAAAGGTGGGGATTAGAGAAATTTCCCCCCTTTCCTTACAGATTTCTTAAAAAGCTAATTTTATTGGTAGATTTTAGATATACATAAATGATCCCATTCACCACAGGGAATTTGTATTACACGACATACTTTGATTCTTCTTTTCCCCTCATTCCTTCCCCTCCCTTCAACCCTTCATTCCCTCCTTATTTACTAAAGTTTTGTTCCCATTTTTTTCTTTTATTCACTTCTCCCATTTCCCTTCCTTTCTTTCCCCCTCACCATTCCTCTTGATTTGGACTTTTTCTTCCTATTTCACAATATCTATTATACATTTTGGTGCTTATTTACCCTTTAGGTTTCTCTCTACAGAGAAGCAATGCAATATTTATACACGTGTGTCCGATTTACTATACTTAAAGAATATGGTCTTAAGGTGCATCCATTTATCTAAAAATGTCTCAAGTTTACCCTTCTTTATGGCAGAGTAGTACTCCACTGTATAAAAAACTCCACATCTTCTTTATCCATTCATCAATTGGTGTGCATTGAGGCTGTTTCCAAGTTATAGCTATTACAAATGATGGTGTTATAATGTGAGTGTGCATATGTCACTATAGTATGTTGCTTTTTTGGGGAGGCTATCAAGAATCAAACTCAGGGTCTTACACTTGCCAGGCAGGCACTACCCTGCTGAGCTACATCCTGGCCCCACTTTTAATTCTTTTAGAGAAATTTTTTTGAGGAAAAGGAGTATACAGTGTATAATGATATTGGAAAACCACAATGGATATCAATGAATGAAAGAAAAATCATACCAAATCCTACCCTTCCAGTAATTATCCTCTGCCATTTAAAACATTTCCTTATTCAGCCTTATCCAAAAATATCCTTATTCATATGATGAACACATAATTATAGAAACAATTTTGCATACTGACTGTTTTACTTAATTTTACATTTGTACTACTGTGCATTTTTTAATTTAAAATTTTTAATGATGGGAAAATGTTTCTACACAGTCATTGTGTTATCACTAGTTATGTAAGTTCCTTCCAATTTTTTGTTATCAGAAATCTATAATAAACAGCTTAGGGCAGATAGCTTTTTCCTTTGGGAAGAACTGTCTGTTTAGATAACTTCTCAGTGGTGGAATTTCTGCAATGTGTAGGTCTTGAAATGTTCTGTTACATTACTTTAAAAGATATTGTTGTTTTTGGATGATTTCCTCTGAGAAACTCCAATGTGAGTCCTTCTTTATTCAGCCATGTTGGATCTCTCCATTATATTGCTACATACATATTTCAAAAATTTATATTGCCATCAGTATAAATTTGGAAACCAAGTATTTAACATGGATAGGACCTTTTGTATTCTGGAAACTTCTAGTTCTCCAGCTTTCTCTCTCATGGTGCTGCACTCACTTCCACCCTGTCTTCTCCAAACACACTGATCTTTCCTTCCTTTAATGTAACATGGGCTCCTGTTATAATTTAGTCCCACAAGGGCTCCTTCTGCCTGCAGTTCTGTCCCCTGGTCTATGTGATATTCAGAAGCTGGGACAAGCCTAATCTGATAGTAATTTACTTTTAGCATCATTAACCTATAGCTTACTCAGAAATTCAATTTGCAGTAGAAGGAATCTCATTCTAAAATCTATAATTTTAACAAGATAATAGTTATTTTTGGCCATGAGCTAAAATATACAGGAGAAGAAGTCTTTCTGCTATTGTGTAAATATTGCATAAGCCAGAGAAGTACAATGAAATGGGATAGGAAGGTGATATTTTAGATTTTATTTGGGTGGATTTACACAAAGGTGGGGATTAGAGAAATTTTCCCGTGTCACCTGTGTATGGGTATCACCTGTGTTAGTTAGCTGTCACTTTGACAAAACACTTGAAAAGAACAACTTAGAGAAGGAAAGGTTGATTTTAACTCACGGTTTCAGTCCATGGTCCCCTGGCTCCTTTGCTTCTGGGCCCATAGTGAAGCAGAGCATCATGGCAGGGAACAAGTACTGGAGGAGAATGGCTCACTTCATGTCAGACAAGAGGCAAGGAGGGAGAGCCTGAGCGGAAGGGACTCAGGACACACTACACCCTTAAAGCCAATCCCACAGTGACCTTCTTCATCCAAGTAGGCTCTGCCTCCTAATAAACCCATTCAGCTAATGAACTGATGAAATGGTTAATCCACTTGATGAAATGAGAGTCCCTGTGATTCAGTCCCTTCCTAGAGTCCATCAAGGGGCCACCAAGCCTTCCACACAGTGAACCTTCTGGGGACATTTTGGACCCCAACCATCACATCATCTTTTAAGCCTCCACATGGCTATTGATTCCTCCAAGGCTGGGAGCTCCTCCTTTGTATTTCATAGAGCCTATCCCTACCATTCTCCAATTATTTTGTGCTGCAATTCTCTGACTATTTTTTTTTTTTTGCCTCAATAATGCTCTGTCTGTTGTGCTCACTGTGTGTTTATAGTGTCTTGCACCATAGGAATTCAATAACTCCATGTTACATTAAAAATAAAAAACCAATTAAAAACCCAGTTAAAGAGATGGAGAAAAATTTCAATCTGTCAACTGGGGTATATGATATTAGATATTTAATTAAAAATATTTATTAAACACAAGACATAGAGTTAAATACTACAGCTACAAAAGCTATTAAGAAAAAATGCTTTGAGAATACTTGCTGTCAAGTAAAATAAAATTTAGTTAAAGCTCAAGAAAGAAAGAAGGGAATAAAATAGTCATTGTTTTAATGGAGAAGGAATTGAAACAATAGTGATGGACTGAAAGAGAAATACTTCCATTTTCAAGGTAGGGGAATGGAGAGGAAGAAGCATTGTGTTTCTAGTTATTTGTGAGAATAGTGAGAAGTAGACATTTTCTTTTTTGTTGTTTGTTTGTTTGTTTTTTGGTGCCAGGATTCAAACTCAAGACCCAAACTCAAGACCTTGCACTTGCCAGGCAGGCACTGTGCCACTGAGCTGTACACCCAGTCCCACAGTAGCCACTTTCAGTTGAACATCTCTCAATATTAACAGTCAAATCATGAAAATAGTTAGGTAACTGGAGTCGTAGCATATAATATGACTTCTATACATAATATAATTTTATATACTCCCATAAATATTTTCATGCATTTAGATAATTATTATTATTATTTTTTTTTTGGTTTTTCTCTGGTACCAGGAACCGAACTCACGACCTTGCGCTTGCCAGGCAGGCGCTTTTGCCGCTGAGCTAAATCCCCAGCCCCACATTTAGATAATTATTGCAATTAGTGTTCAAAAGAAAATAAGAGAGAGAAAAGAAGAAAGGAGAATCATTTGGCATCAGGGACCTTTTTTTTTTTTTTTTTGTCTTTTTTTTGAGACAGGGTCTCACTCTGCAGTTCAGGCTGGCCTTGAGCTCACTTCGTAGCCCAGGCTGGTCTTGAACTTGCAATGATCCTCCTACCTCAACCTCCTGAGTGCTGGGATTACAGGTATGAACCACCACATTCAACCTCAGCATCAGGGACTTTTAATAATGGGGAAAACATGTACTCAGGGGTTATTGGTACCTGGTTTGGTGCAGGGAATTGTGAATAGAAAAATGTTTTTGTGACAACATTGCAGCTTGGAAAGATAGCATGTATAAAATATATACAGGGCAAGAAAACATCCAAAAAATTGCTTCCCAAGATAAACGATCAAGAATGACTGTGACTCATACTTGAATTTTTCAAGATTGTAGTATCATTTATGAAGAATTAACATACTTGGACAAGTGAGGTGCCTATTGATGTTCTGGTAAAGTGTTGCTATCATCCATCCCAACCAGAAGCTCCTTTCCCTTCCAAAGACCTGCCAACCAACTAAGGCCTCACACAAACTATTTCCTTTTCAGGTTTAACTTTCGAGGATTCCGCTGGATGAAAACCATGATTCACACGATCAAAGAAATTAATGAGAGGAAGGATATCTTGCCCAATACCACTCTGGGCTATCAGATCTTTGATACCTGTTTCACCATCTCCAAAGCCATGGAGTCAGCTCTGGTCTTCCTTACAGGGCAGGAAGAGAACAAGCCCAATATTAGAAATAGCACTGGAGCGTATCTAGCAGGAATTGTTGGATCAGGTGGATCGTCCTTATCGATTGCTGCTTCAAGAATTCTAGGGTTGTATTATTTACCTCAGGTATTTCAGAATGTTGTACTGGGCGTTAACTTATAAAGAAACACAAGTTATGGGTGTAGAACTTGCAGCATAGAACAAGGTGCTCGGGGAGGTTGGGCAAAGCTCCGGAGTCTAACAGGGATGGCTGCAGTGCTGCCGCTCCGTGCTCAGTCAGGCCTCAGCAAGTGTGAACCGATGTCTACTTAGAGGCAATTTGAAACTTCTTGTAGCCTTTAGGATCCTGCTTGGATTTTTAATTGAGGTTGTGATCAGTGATTTGCAGGTTGACAGCTCACGAGGCACACTGTTTTAGCATTTGTGGAGCACGATGCAGAGGATCAATAATTACTTGCTGGCTGATCATTAAAGGGGTACATACAGGTACTCGTTTTGGTGGTTGTTCTGTTAATGAGTATTATTCTTGACCCTATTTGTTGATGCACTAATATCTTAAGATGGACCTGGCAGTTTCACAAGATTGATAGAATCTTAGGATGTTCATTTTACAGATTATTTTAAATTCAGAGAGAATTCCACAAAAATATTCATTCATCATTTGAATATAAGGATATATGATAGTAGAAAGAATAGAATATTAAGAAAATGTAAGTAAAGCTCTTCTTGTATTCCTAAGGATGGGTCATTAAAACACCAATAGTAAGGACTTCTTAATGTGAATAGTGATTAGGATTATTTGTTATTGAAGTAAGGGGATACCTTGAGGTAACTGTAAGAAGTATCACTAATATAGTACTGCTTATAAAGTTGCAAGTTCAAATGTAGGAGCACCGAGAAACAACTATGAAGAGATGTTGGGAGACTCATCGATACCTTAACTATGCACTTTGTGTAGTTTAGACAAACTCCTGGTGCCACGAGTTCTGTCTTCCACTAGGCACCATCAGTAATCCAGACATAGGCTCAAGACCTCTGGATAGATTTTCTCCTTAAAGGCCTTGCAGGAAATCTTCAAAGAGGGTAAAAGAAATCTACCATTTCACATTTTGTCATTTTATTTACTGAACTGAGCAAACTTAAAGATCTAGATTATCATATTAATTTCACTAATGAGGAAACCAATGTTCCGAAGGTTTAAGTAAATTGTCCAAGGTCTTCTCTGTCTGGTCAATTATCTAGTCAGAATTAGAAATTAGATGGTTTTGCTTTTTAAATGCTATTTTTCCCTACAAGAAGAATGTCACCTTTAGCCAGTGGAGTAAGAATAAAGCAAAGGTAGAGGAAAGAGAACATAGGAATAATGCTGTGCTCATGAAGGACAGCTATAGAATTGTAGTACAGCAGATCTTATTGGAAGGGATGTATTAATCACATAAGATGGGGTAAGGGAGAATATGATGTGTGATCTTAACAGTAGAGTGGGTGAGGCTGAGGGTAAGCTATGGCAAAAAGGTACGTAAGATGGTCAGGAATTCCTGGTCACCTGACCACCATTCTTAACTTCCCACTGACGGGGAATACCCACAAGGATTACTGAAAAAGTGAGGAAAGAAGTACCTTCATTTATGTAGACATGTGTGTGTAAAATGAGAGCATATAAAGTGAAAATAACATTGTGAAACAACAAAGCTTAGAGCTGATGTTGAAGCGGCACTCATACCATCTTCTGAGCTAAGTCTTAGGACCTACATGCTACATACTCAGAAGTCCTGCGGGAGGGAAACAAAGAAAGAGAAGAAGAGACAAAGAGAGAAACTAATGGAGAAGGAGGGGGGATGGAAGGGAGCAGGAAGGAAAGAAAGGAGGAAAGGAGAGAGAGAGAGTAGAGAGGGAGGGTGAGGGTGAGGATGAGAGAGCAAGGGCGAGAGCCAGAGCTAGATTGAGGAAGAAGGAGGAGGAGGAGAAAGAGGAGAAGAGGAGGAAGAGGTGATGGAGAACAAGAGAGGAGAGCAGAAGAGAGGAAAGACAGAAAGAACTGTAAGGGTGAGACATCAGATCTGCCAGAACAGGGGAGTCACCTTGTCTCAGGGGGGCATAAGGGAAAGGGCAGATGAAAAATAGTGCATTGAATGTAATCATTTTAATAATTAGTCCTCTACCTCCTGGTGGGGTAGGAAAAGAATTGGAAGGATGGCAGCGATCCCTTAACAGTTCCCACCCACTGAGCAGAGAGAAAAAAGTCCTTCTGTCTATGAAAGGATGTAAGAATGAGAGAAGAACCACCACATGACCTCCCTCTCAATAAGCATTTTCAGAAATTGTGTAATTTAAGTTTTGCTGCTGCTTTCGAATAACTGCATGAATGTTTTCAATCGTAGGTGGGCTACTTCTCCACCTGCTCAATTCTTAGTGACAAATTCCAGTTTCCATCTTATATTCGCACAATAGCCAGCGATAAGTTCCAGTCTGAAGCGATGGTAAAACTTATCCAACACTTTGGCTGGGTGTGGGTAGGAACTATTGCGGCTGATGATGATTATGGTAAATACGGAGTAAAAGCTTTTAAAGAACAGATGGAGAGTTCCAATCTCTGTATTGCATTCTCTGAAACCATCCCCAAAGTCTATTCCAATGAGAAAATGCAGAAAGCTGTTAAAGCTGTGCGGAGTTCCACTGCCAGAGTCATTGTGCTTTATGCATCCGATATTGACATCAGTCCTTTTGTGCTGGAAATGGTTTACCATAACATAAGCGACAGAACATGGATAGCGAGCGAAGCATGGATCACCTCAGCCCTCATTGCAAGGCCTGAATATTTCCCATATTTTGGAGGAAGTATTGGATTTGCGATACCAAGAACTGATATACCAGGATTAAAAGAATTTCTTTATGATGTTCATCCCAGCAAGGATCCAAATGATGTCCTGACGATTGAATTCTGGCAAACTGCATTTAACTGTACTTGGCCAAACAGTAGTGTTCCCTACAATGTTGACCATAGAGTGAACATGACTGGGAAAGAAGACAGATTGTACGCCATGTCTGATAAATTCTGTACCGGAGAGGAGAGGTTGGAAGAACTTAGAAATACCTACTTGGATGTGTCTCAGCTCAGAATTACGAACAATGTCAAACAAGCTGTGTACGCCATGGCTTACGCCTTGGATGAACTAAGTAGATGTGAAGAAGGACAGGGGCCGTTCATGCCAGAAAACTCTTGTGCATATTTACCTGATTTTGAACCTTGGCAGGTAAGTTGTTTTACTTCCACCTGACAATTATCAGATATAGCTTCATGAAGTGACATAAATGACAACTGTAAGAATTCATGCTATTAAAACTATTGGTTTGCCTTTGTACTTAGTAGGCATGAGTTCATCACATGCACACTTAAAATAATGGTTTGCTTGTGCGGCTATATGCACATTTTCACGGTTCCCATTTTGCTAACAGCTATTACTAGGTCTGAGGTTAATGATATGGAGCTTTCTAAAATAGGGCCTTAAACAAGCTACATTTCCTTCACATAAATTAGATGTAAAGATAAGCATTCTGAAACTGAAAGAGCGGCAGAGAGATTCAGATTTCTCCTATCTTGTTGCGCCACCATCTACAACATGGGGAACTCACCTTGTACTCTAAAGTGGCCATGTTTGAACTGATAGGAAGGAGAAGGCAAACTCAGGTATGCCCCTCCAAGTAAGGGTTTTTCCCGGAAATTGCATACAATTCTCCTTACCTCCCAGTAGCCAGACTTTTGTCCTTAGTCACATCTACCTTCAAGGGAAATTACCAGATGTAGTCTTTGTGTAGCGTGGGAGGGGACACAGAGCATGAATGCCAGGAGATAAAGATCATGGGGAGCTCTCTTGAAATTTATTCCCATATACCCTGTCCCCGGTCTGACAATGAATAACTCATGTCGGGACATAGTAACCTGAATGGTTGTGCCAAGATGCACACCTACCCAGAGTGCTCCCCTGCTTACAACACTTGGTACCTCCCCTGCTGCCTTGATAAGATGACGTAGGAGCACCCCTGGCCCAGACCTGTCAGCCTTCCTTGACTCTCCGATTCCGTCATCCCTCCCTCCCTGACCCTCACCACTTTACTCTCCTGCAACACTAAATCGTTTATCATGCTCAAGAGTCCACAGTGGCTGGAACCACTGCAGCTTTAGTTTTATTTTCAAATTGGTCACATATTGCATTTAGTTTTGTCTTTCTTTAGTCTATCCAAGTCTGTAATAGCTTCTTCCTTCCTCATTTTTCAGGTTTTCAGAGTACTGGTCACATATTTTTAGAATTTCTAAAATTTGGGTTTGTGTACTTTTTTCATAATTAGATCGAGGTTATGCATTTTGGGCAAAAAAATGGCATAAACGTGATAATATTGTGTCATTTTCTATGCTTCATATAGGGAGGTATATGATATAGCTGTCTAGTTATTGGCGACGTTAACTTTGGCCACTTAATTACAGCAATACCATCATGTTTTTCCAATGTGAATTACTCTCTTTTTCTCTGGGATTAATAATTATCCTGTGCAGCAATATTTTGTGAAAATGCCCTGTTTTCATTACACTTTTGCCCAAAATTTTAGTGTCCATTGATGAATCTTCTTGTCTTGAGCTCCTGTTACCACGTTGTCTGGAAAGTGATGATTTTTTTTTTTTAACCTCATCTCTTCTACATTTATCAACTGCAATTCTACTCCTCTTTCACTGATTTATTTACATCAATTAGGCCCAGATATTTATTTTTATTCTGTGAGGGATAATCTATAATTATCACTTGTTTTGCTGTTCAACATTTCTCACATTTGTCCAACAGGAGACACTTTGAGTTGGCTCTTGCTTCTTTTTGATATATTCTCTTTTTTATATACATTCTTTTTTTTTTTTTTGTACCGGGAATCAAACTCAGGACCTTGTGCTTGCCAGGCAGGCACTTGTGCTGCTGAGCTATATCCCAATTTTTAAGAACTTCTTTAGTTTTGGGAACTTTAATGTTCCAGGCTTCTCTTATAGTTTTTCTGCCCCAGATCTGTAGTCAACCGTTTCTCCAAAGAGCCATTTTCATTTATTGAAAATGGAATTTAGACACCAAAATGTGACTGTTAGGTTTATTTATTGATTCTAAAAGAGTTGTAATAAATTCAAAATTCAAAATTAAATTATATTTTAAATGCCAAAAGAGAGTCTTTTCATTTTAAAGGAAGTTCTCTAGGTATGTCTTTTGCAATAAAGAAGACCTTGTTTTTTGTACGGCAAACAGTCACTCTCTAATTTATTATTTGAACATTGCAATATTAAATTTAAATTAGTGCAAAAAGCAACAATTATGTGTTCGAATACTAGAGAGAAGAGCTTTAGGGATGATTCAGGGAGCACATAATGTCAAGGAGACTGTTGGGCTAGTCTGTGATGTGGTTCATTCTCTTTGATATATTTTTCATAAGTCAGTAAGTCAAGACTGTAAAAGAAAGACCTCTCATTAGAGAATGTTAATACAGGCATTTAAGAAAGCCTCATAAATATGTCAAGATTCAAATCTTCTATTTATTTAAAATAAAAGATTGTACACTTTATACCTCTTCTTTGCTTACTCCGTTAGTAGACTTAGAAAATACATGTTTGGGAAACTCTTTTGATATTATTGTCTTACTGGATATTTATAAATTATATTTCTACACCTAGTGGTAGGGACCTGTGTCCTGCCATCTGACACACTTATGGAAAGGTTGTTCTAGGGAACGTTCAGGAAGGAAAAGCCTTAGCTTCATTCATTTTGGTTTTGTTTGAGAGAGTGTCTCGCTCTGCAGTTTGGGCTGGTCTGGACTCACTATATAACCCAGAATGGCCTTGAACTCATGGCAGTCCTCCTGCCTCAGCTGCCTGACTGCTGGGATTACAGGCATGCACCCCCGCTCCTGGCCTTGCTTTAACTCTTCTGAAGATGAGGAAAGAAGAAGGAAAGCTTCTCCCAAATGATAGTCAGTTTTCTGCTGCTGTGACAAATTACCTAAGAAAAGCAACCTGAAGGAAGAAAGTTCTATTTTGGTTCACAGTTGCAGAGGCTTCAGTTTGTTGGCTCCAATAGTGTGGGCCTGGGGTAAGGTGGAACATCCTGGAACGTGTTGAGGAGGAAGCTGCTAACCTCATAGTGGGCAGGAAACACACACACACACACACACACACACACACACACACACACACAGGCACAGTGAGAGAAAGAATGAGAGAATGAGAGATATCTGGGGACAAGTCTTTATGCCCCCATGACTCACTCACTTCAGTGAGGTCCCACCTCCTAATAAAACCATCAAATTAGGAATCAACCAGTAGATGAATCCACTACACTTGGTCTTAGCCTAAAGGCCAAGAAGTGATAGGTGAATCCACTGATGAAGTTACAAACCCAATCACCTTTTAAACATTGAACATTAAACTCTGAACATTGCTGCTTCGGGATCAAGCCTGCAGCACATGAATCTTGGGGAACATTTAAGATTCAAACCATGACGACAATGGACTCAGTGATAAAAGCCACCCTGTTGTGAACCCTGATGTAGAATTTAATTGGATTGAAGAGAATAAGATTGTTAAAGAGAGGAAAGGAGCTATAAGAGGACAGGTGACTGGAGTAGTCCTAGTGGTAGATGGTGACGGTGGTACTCACCTTGGTATACTCACTTACTAAAGGTGTTGAGGTGTGTTACCTCACTCCCTGTCCCAAACATAGGGAGGAATAATTGTCCTCTTTTTATAGGCCAGGAAGCTAGTGCTTAATTAGTATATCACTTGATATTTAACAGAGCCAAAATCATCAGACACCATGATTCAGCTTATTTCCACTAAGTTTTGTGGCTTTATGGATTTGTGGTCACTGGGTTAGAACTTCTAATTGGGAAATGTAAACCTGGTATGTGGTACTAAAACCAAGGATCTATCCCTGCTAAGATTGGTCATCTCAGCTAAGACTGACTGGGTGAAGCCAGTGTGAGAGAAGTATTCCTGTTGATTTCTACAAATCCTTTTCTAGGAGTAGAACAAGACCCATCACTATTTTTTTTGGAAGAGTAACAGGAGTTAAACTCAGGACCTCACACTTGCCAGGCAGGTGCTGCACCACTAAGCTAAATCCCCAGCCCCTGATCCACTATTGGTATTAGGGAATATTTGGCACCACTGTGCTATCATATAAACTAGTGTTATATAATAAAAACATCAATTTTAATATACCACACAGGTAAATTAAACTTTTTTTAGTGTTCAAATTAAAAAAAAGAAATATAATTAAATTTAATAATCTATTTAACCTGATATATGCAAAATAATACTCTAACATCAGAATTATAATCTAATATGAAATAATGAAGTGAAATTATTATTGAGGTAGTTTATATTTTTATTTAAAAAAATTAAATCATTATAAGCCCAGCCACCTGTCAAGTGTGAATTATCACACATGGCTAGAGTTGTGTTACAGAGCAAAGATGTAGAAGAAGAGGAAAAAAATACAATCCTGTGAATTAAATGAGTTTGAAATTACTTTCTTTAGAGAACAGTTTCTAAACAATTGAGTTTTACAAATTCTTTCTCCCCACCTTGCTTTCTAGCTGATGTACTATGTGAAGACAGTTAAATTCAAAACCCATGATGGAAAGAAAATACAAGTTGATCAAAATGGAGATGTGATTGGATACTATGACATTCTAAATTGGCAGTTAGATGATAATGGAGAAATTGCCTTTGTGAAGGTTGGAGAATATAAATTTGCATCAAATAAGTTTGAACTTGTTTTCAAGAAGAATTCAACGATATTTTGGAACACCGAGTCATCAGGGGTTAGTTGCTCTGACACCTTACTCTGTAGATATATAATTACATTGCTGTATTTTTTTATGTGCTAATGGAATACAAAACACCTAGAGATATTTCTAAATTCCAAATCAATTTTCCCAAGTACAGTACATGCCTTTTCTATATATGGATTCTGATGTTTTTATTTTTTGGAACATTTCCTTGGATTGCAGCATTACATATTAATTTCATTATTTGTTTTGCTTCTTTGAGTACTGCAGTGACACCTACTTGGCCTCCTTCGTCTGTCTTTCATTTCATTCACTTTTCTCAACTGGTTTTTGTCTTTTTCTTTATCATTTTTATTCTCTTTGTATTTCCTGCTTTTATTTCATGACTCTTACTACATTTTCATTGAAATAAATTGTTTTTTGTTTTTTTGAGACAGGATCTCAGTATGCAGCTTAGGCTGGTCTTGAGCTCACTTTGCAGCCCAGGCTGGCCTTGAACTCACAATGGCCTGCCTCAGCCTCCTGACTGCTGGGATTACAGGCATGTGCCACCTCGCCCGGCTAAAATAAATTCTTTTTTGAACCCTTGCTACCACTATCTTAATTTCTGAAATGGATTTTTTGAGTTTCTTTCCTGAGTAAAATAAACTTTTGAAATTTCTTCCCATTTTGTATCATGCATTTCTTACTTTTAAAATTTCTTCCTTTGCTTTTTAATATTTAAATTATTTTCAATTTACATAAAAACATAAAAATTGTGTGTATTTCTGGGGTTCTATGTGGTGTTTCTATATATACATTGTGCAATGTTTGGGTCAGGTTAAACATATCTATTTCATCAAATATTTGTCATTTCCTTATGGTTAAAACATTTAAAACCCTTCTAGCTTTTTTGAAATGTAAAGTACATTATTGTTACCTTGCAACAGAGCACCAGAACTTCTTGCTCATAGCTAAATACGATTTAGTCCCCACTGATCCATCTTTCCTCACCCTTCCGCACGCCCACTCTCTCCTGCTCTGGTAACACTGTCCTACGGCCTCCACTTCTAATGAAATCAAGTCCTTTAGATGCCATACCTGTGTGAGATGCAGTACTTGTCTTCTGTGCCTGGCTTATTTCATTTGACATAATAATATCCAGTTCCAGCTATGCTGTGGCCAATAACAGGACTTCGTTTTTAAAAATTCAATTTTATTAGGATATGTTTACAGTCCATGAAATGTGCATTCATTGTAGGGAGTAGCACACCCGTAACATATTTTGATTCTTTTTGTTCCCCCTCTCCTGTCCAACCACCTCCCTCCTGCCACCTCTAGATTTCCTTTCCTCATTTTCAGTATTATTGTTATTATTCTTTTTTAGTTCACATTTGCAATGTATAATGCTTATATTCACTGCGGGTATTTGGTACATGTACAAGACCCATCTTAAATCTGTTCCTTTCTTTCCCCTCTCCCCTCCCCTCACTCATGATCTCTTGGAAGGGTTCCCATTTGTAAAAGATCTATCTCCCTGATTCCTTTTATCAGTGTTTTATTTTGCTATTTGTAATTTTCATTACTTAAATGAAAGTACCAGATGAACTTATGCTAATGTGATTTATTTCGCTTAACATTGTGTTTTCAAGGTGTATTCATTTTCCTACAAATGTTTTAAAATTTTCCTTCTTTACAGCCCAGTAGAATTGTTACATATAATTTAGCTCGTATGAATTGTGCTGCTATAAACACTGGTATGCATGTATTTTTGTAATATATCTTCAGCTCTTTTGGGAAGACATGTAGAAGGGGAATGGTTGGGTCAAATGGAATTTTTATTTTTAGCTTTTTGAGACATCTCTGTACTGATTTCCATAATGGCTGTACTGGTTTACACTCTGACCAGTAATATATAAATGTTCCTTTTTCACTGCAGCCATGGCAGCATTTGTTATTGTTTGATTTCTTGATGATTACAACTCTTTTTTGTATAAGATGATATTTTAGTGTTGTTTTAATTTTCATTTTTCTAATGGCCAGAGATGTTGAATATTTTTTCATTTATTGGCTGTTTGTTCTTTTAAGAAGTGTTTATTCATTTTATTTGCCCAGTTTTTGATTGGGTCTTTTACTTTGAGAGGTCTAATTTTTAAGTTTTTAATGTATTCTAGATATTAAGACTTTATTATTTTTATGGCCAAATAGTATTTCATCGTGTATCTGTGCCACATTTTCTTAATTATCAGTTGATGGGCATCTAGGTTGTTTCCATGTCATCATTATTATGAGTAGTGCCACAATAAACCTACCAGGGCAGATGTCTCTTCACCATGTTCATTTAATTTTCTTCGGATATATTCAATCGTGGGATTGCTGTATTGTTTTGTGGTTCTATTTTTAATGTTTTGAGGGACCTCAATACAGTTTTCCACAGTGATTGAATGTTTTCTCTTTACTGTAGGTTGTTTCTTTTGATATATAGAAAATTTTTAATTTGATGTAATTCCCTTTGGTCTATTTTAGCTTTTGTTTCCTGTGCTTTCGACTTCCTGTTAAGACAATATCTTGCCTACAGAAACATTTCTTCTGTGTGTGTGTGTGTGTGTGTGTGTGTGTGTGTGTGTGTGTTTGTGTGTTTCTGGCAGGTTCATTGTTTCAGGTTTTAATCCATTTTGAACTGATTTTTGTAACTGGGGAGTGATAGTCCAGTTTCTTTCTTTTGCATGTGGATATCTGTTTTCCTCTGCACCATGTATTGAATACAACTGCCCTCTCTTCAATGAATGCTCTTCGAACCTTTGTAAAAAATCAGCTGTAGGTGCTTGGGTTTACCTATAGGCTTTCTGTTTTGTTCCATTGGTCTGTACCTGTTAATGCCAATACCATACTGTTTGATCCCATAGTTTTGCAGTATATTTTGAAGTCAGGTAGTATTTT